ACTGTCCTCCAGAGGTTCGCCGATGTGGTCTGTGAGTTTATTCAGTAAGCAGTTGTTTTTCCAGGTCGTCTTTCGTAGTATCTTGTTTGCCGGATCATTTGTTTGTTATAGACTAGGTTTTTTTAAGTTCTGGTTAGCTTACCTGGGGTGTTGCAGGTACTGGTAGAACTGCAGGAACCCCCCCCCCCCTCCAATCTTCAGGAACATTTGTTTGCTTGCTGAATATTCTCAGTTGAAAGCTGACTCATCAGTTAGAACTAACAAGTTAAGAATACCAGAAAAAGACTGATTTCGATTTTTCGGGAAAAAAGTAACCTATGAAACAAATGTTTATATTACTTGGCTATGTTTTTAATTATCATTTAAAAACATGCAAACTCATAGAAGTCCCGAGCCCTGATTTTGAGAAAATGTTAAATTGTTCTTAGAGATATCAAAAAAATGTAAAGTAGCTAAACCCCTTTTTTTTATTTATTTAATAATGCCCTCGGCAACATGGGCTATTGGGCTTACAGTTCAAAAATTATAAATTATAGAAATCACAGAAATTACATAAATTGTATAAACATACATCAGTTACATTAAATTTTGGAAATAAGATTGGCGGCTGTGATGAATTGCATGATGTTGGTAATGGATTGAGGGTGATTGCATAGAGTTTCTGATAGTGATTCGGGTAGGTTGTGGCTTGTTCGGGTACTGTCGTAGATTCGACATTCGGTTAATATGTGTTTGATTGTGACTTGAACACCGCATGTTGTGCACGTTGGTGGTTCTTCTTTGGACATTAGGAAACTGTGGGATATTTTTGTCTGTCCAACTCTTAGTCTGGTTATTATTACTTTGAATTTTCTGTGAATTTCTAAGGGAAATGTCCAATTATCGGTGTTATGTTTTATATGGTTTAAATTAATAAGATTATTAATAATATGTCCACCTTTGATGCCATCTTTGTTGACATTTCTTTGTTATGAGCATTCGTATGTCACTGGAGGAAATGATTTATGTCTGTGATGATAGTGAAGATGTGATAGCATTTTTGGCTGCGTTAACCACTTTTTATGTAGGTTTACCAGTTGCTATTCTTATCCCAAAAAAAACCGTGCGTCAGAGTCCATGTAAAAAATCATTAAGTCAAAAAAAAATAGTCATTTAAAAGACATGACAATTTGTTAAATAGTGCAGTCATGTCCGTTCATGTTTATTCGTCGAAATACATTCTAGCAAAGTAAATAAATTATTGAGATAGAATAAATGTATTATAAATTTAATTTACTTAGCGTTTATCCATGAAATCCCATATTTTTACGATATTAGAATTTCCTATTTAGTACATTATAGTATTATTATTACGATAAGCGGAGGCGCAGGCAACGGCTGGTACCGCCGCCTAGTGTACAACGTATACGTATACGGCGAAGAAGGGGTAATACGGTCTCTGGCGCTGAAACATCGTACGTTACTACTAAAAACGGTCGAGCACAGTATATTTTTTACTCAAAAATACATTATTTTTTTGTGAATACATTCGGTATTACTGAACCAATTTTTTTTCAAAACTGACAAAGGTATAATCTGTATATCATATAGACCTTGGCAAATAAAAAATTTAATGGGCAAATGTACACACATTCGATGTACTTCTATAAGGTCGTGACTGAATTTTTTTACTTAGCTTCACGCTACTACCGTTGCATTGGATATCTGCTACAGTCAAATTGTTCATCTGGGCTAAATAAGATCATATAGAGAAGTCCACCGACGCCGATATGAACGTGAAATGAGATTCACCAATAACACCCGTATAGTACTGTATTTTATATTTTTTTATTGGTGAAGTCATCGTTTACACTTCACACCTAAAGAGTACGTTTGTTTAATCGTTAATAGACAAATTAATAAACTCAAACACTACTAGACCATTTTCACAATAAAAATTATATCAATAGATTCCTTGGGATTTCAAGGGTATTTATATATTATTTTTTCAACCCCTATATGAAGCTTAAGGTTAGCTCACACGTGACTATTTTTTCAGCTCATGAAAACACATTATGATAATTATTGTTTAAAATTTTGTTTTTGAATTAAATGAATGTTTAAATTGTAAAGCGTTTACAATTCATGTACATTTATTGCTGTATACATTTATATAAAAATTGTTTTGCTAATAAAATAATAATAAATACCTACCCTAATCGGCCTAATCGGATGCATATTATTTTAGGTTATGTGTACCAATTTATAAAGAGCCGCATTACTGATAATAAAAGTAATAATTATTAAGCTAGTTACAAATTTACAATACATTAATATGACATAATATCATATAATATTAAATTAAAATAAGAACTATAAGAACCAATATTATTATAATTGGTTCTAAAATTATATTCAATCAAAAAATATTTATTTTATTCAAGTATTATTATTTTTATTTCACAGATCGAATTATAACGGACCCGATAGAATTTTGTCAAAGCATGAAATAAATTAATTTAAACAATACACTTATCATAATACTGTTATGTACTTTTATTTATGATGGTTAATTGTGAGTAAATTCATACTTTATTATATAAGATGACTTTATATTGTTATACATAATATTTATAATATATTTATCTAAAATAATTGAAAATAATACTAATTAAATAAACTTATGTTACCTACGTGGTAACACTAATAACATCGGTTTAATTGATAAAGCAAAATTTGTCCATATTGTGTTATATAATTAATGACGCCTCACTATCATAGAATTTTTTTTGTTAATAAGTGCACATGTCATTAATATATTTTTGCATGGTTGCATGAACAATCACTAAACATTTAACTAATCAATAATGAGGTAATGGTCCTTTAAACACGATTTAGTGGCCCATGATTGGTCCATTAAATTTTATTTGACCGTTAAACTAATACATTTTTCATTCAACTCGGCATTAGTGTTACAATAAATTTCACAATTATTGGTGGATCAATGAAACTAAATTTTATGGGGGCGAGTGTTAGTGCTGGGTAGCTACTATCCTCAAGCATGCAATGTCAATACATCATACGTGCATATGCTTAGTGTAAAAATGTTACAGATTGTATGTATTTTAATAAAACATGTTTAAAAAAAACATTTTATATCAGTTAATTGTGTATATAGTAACTATTATTTTTTTATGATATTATATAATAGGATATTCCTAGCTTTTATATTCCATCTACAATCTACAGTTATTTACAGAATCGGTAACTATTGACAATATTAACATGGTAATAATGTTAATATTAATTAACAATATAACAATAGTAATTGTATGAGGGGCCACCTGGTTGGAGCAGCTGTGCTTTCGACGACGTATTTGTGTTGCCAGGTAAAGACCGCTCACGGGCTTTCGCTTCTANAAAAAAAAAAACAGTGCGTCAGAGTCCATGTAAAAAATCACTGAGTCAAAAAAATAAATAGTCATTTATAAGACATGCAAATTTGTTAAATAGTGCAGTTATGAACGGACATGTTTATTTGTCGAAATAAATTCTAGCTAAGTATATATATTATTGCGATAGAATAAATGTATTATAAATTTAATTTACTTAGCAATTTTTGACAAGGAGTTGGACCAAGTGTTTTTGTTGGGATATCAGTAGTTTTTTTGTAACATATTTTTATGTATTGGCGAGTAATATGATTTGCAGGTTTTTCATGTTTTTATCTATTTATTATGTTTGTTCATTCAATATATTCAATTTTTTTTTTTGCATTATTATAATGTACACATCTTTATCCCCTCGAGGCCTTCGTTCAAAAAATATTGAAATGTCATTACATCGTAGCCATTTATTTTAATGTAAAATTATACAAGTAGATTGGGCTTCATTCGTAGATGGACCCTGGTAATTTCTGTTGATATAATCTTTAGAATCAATGTTAAAAAAATGGTAACAAGTTATAAAATATCTATTAATATATTTGTCGTTACAATTACAACAAATAACACGTGGTTATTATATATATCGGCGCGGCAGCGAAAATAAATGTCTACGCTGAATTTTGCCAAAACGAAATAACGAATACGATATTTGAATTTCCTATTTAATATATTATATAAGCGGAGCCGCAGGCAACGGCTGGGGCCGCTGCCTAGCGTACGACGTATACGTATACGGCAAAGAAGGGATAATACGGTCTCTGGCGCTGCAACATCGAACGTTACAACTAAAAACGGTCGAGCACAGTATATTTTTTACTCAAAAATACATTATTTTTTTGTGAATACATTCGGTATTACTCAACCAATTTTTTTTCAAAACTGACAAAGGTATAATCTGTATATCATGTAGACCTGGTAAAAAAAAATTAAATGGGCAAATGTACACACATTCAAAGGCCAAACTCCGGTTCGTGTAATTTACGACTATAAGGTTAGGTTAGGCTTCACTTTTATTTTTTTACTTAGCTTCACGCTACTACCGTTGCATTGGATATCTGCTACAGTCAAATTGTTCATCTGGGCTAAATAAGATCATATAGAGAAGTCCACCGACGCCGATATGAACGTGAAATGAGATTCACCAATAACACCCGTATGGCCGTATAGTACTGTATTTTATATTTTTTTATTGGTGAAGTCATCGTTTACACTTCACACCTAGAGAGTACGTTTGTTTAATCGTTAATAGACAAATTAATAAACTCAAACACTACTAGACCATTTTCACAATAAAAATTATATCAATAGATTCCTTGGGATTTCAAGGGTATTTATATATTATTTTTTCAACCCCTATATGAAGCTTAAGGTTAGCTCACACGTGACTATTTTTTCAGCTCATGAAAACACATTATGATAATTATTGTTTAAAATTTTGTTTTTGAATTAAATGAATGTTTAAATTGTAAAGCGTTTACAATTCATGTACATTTATTGCTGTATACATTTATATAAAAATTGTTTTGCTAATAAAATAATAATAAATACCTACCCTAATCGGCCTAATCGGATGCATATTATTTTAGGTTATGTGTACCAATTTATAAAGAGCCGCATTACTGATAATAAAAGTAATAATTATTAAGCTAGTTACAAATTTACAATACATTAATATGACATAATATCATATAATATTAAATTAAAATAAGAACTATAAGAACCAATATTATTATAATTGGTTCTAAAATTATATTCAATCAAAAAATATTTATTTTATTCAAGTATTATTATTTTTATTTCACAGATCGAATTATAACGGACCCGATAGAATTTTGTCAAAGCATGAAATAAATTAATTTAAACAATACACTTATCATAATACTGTTATGTACTTTTATTTATGATGGTTAATTGTGAGTAAATTCATACTTTATTATATAAGATGACTTTATATTGTTATACATAATATTTATAATATATTTATCTAAAATAATTGAAAATAATACTAATTAAATAAACTTATGTTACCTACGTGGTAACACTAATAACATCGGTTTAATTGATAAAGCAAAATTTGTCCATATTGTGTTATATAATTAATGACGCCTCACTATCATAGAATTTTTTTTGTTAATAAGTGCACATGTCATTAATATATTTTTGCATGGTTGCATGAACAATCACTAAACATTTAACTAATCAATAATGAGGTAATGGTCCTTTAAACACGATTTAGTGGCCCATGATTGGTCCATTAAATTTTATTTGACCGTTAAACTAATACATTTTTCATTCAACTCGGCATTAGTGTTACAATAAATTTCACAATTATTGGTGGATCAATGAAACTAAATTTTATGGGGGCGAGTGTTAGTGCTGGGTAGCTACTATCCTCAAGCATGCAATGTCAATACATCATACGTGCATATGCTTAGTGTAAAAATGTTACAGATTGTATGTATTTTAATAAAACATGTTTAAAAAAAACATTTTATATCAGTTAATTGTGTATATAGTAACTATTATTTTTTTATGATATTATATAATAGGATATTCCTAGCTTTTATATTCCATCTACAATCTACAGTTATTTACAGAATCGGTAACTATTGACAATATTAACATGGTAATAATGTTATTATTAATTAACAATATAACAATAGTAATTGTTTGAGGGGCCACCTGGTTGGAGCAGCTGTGCTTTCGACGACGTATTTGTGTTGCCAGGTAAAGACCGCTCACGGGCTTTCGCTTCTAGTAGATACTGCTAATTCCCTGGCGATATACAGGCTCGATAGTGGATTGTAATATTGTATGTTAAATTAGAACGGAAAAGGGGTGTAGGAATTTAAGACAAATATTAATCCTGGTACGAAATGGTAAAAATAAACTAATAATAAGTAATAATTCAACACAATAATAATAATACAGTAAAGGTGCTTATCATATGGTTAGTGTTGATAACCCGGACTAAGATAAACCGGTTTTGGTGAATTGATAAAATTATTACTTTCATAAAAGCACAAGACTGGAGCGACGCTCGGAGAGCTAGTAAAATTATAAAATCTATATAACTTACATTATATTAAATTACAGTTAAACTTGTACAGATTGAAAGCAAACTTCAATATAATGTTTGGAACATAATATATAACTGTTAAATTAAATTAGCAAAAAGAAATACAATATTTAAAATAGAAAATTCAAAATTCAGCAGGCAGCCGGCAGCCGGCAGCGACACGGTAATTTACTTTTCTCTCACAGAGAAAGCTTGCTGTGCTTTCCAGCACCGTGAAGAACTCAATTTGGTACTCACCTAATCATATGCCGATGAGCAATCTGCATATCTTAAATCGTGATGTGAACGATAATAGGAAATCTATGTATCTATATCCGTACGATTAATTGATACGCATGTACTTTATCTCCGAATTTCCTATATGAGTATATGACGTTCGTAACAACACATTAATTTATCAGTACATGCCAGTGGGTATCTCGTGTCATACGTGTCTCTCGCCATACGTTTTATATCGTTTTATTTTAATATGGAATTTGTTAAAAGTGCCAAAGCCCATAATGTATTAGTGTTTAAAGGTTTTCTAAATTTCAGAGGGAAACCACCAAAAATTTAAAAAACAATATGGAAATGTGTGGAACGTAAAATTTGTATGTGTCGTTCGAAAGTCCACTCTATTGATGAAGAAATAACGAAAGTTTTGAATCTGCATTCCCACCCACCAGATCCAGCCAAAATTAGTGATAAGCAACATTTTTTCCTAAACTTAAACAGTTACCTATGGATGTGGGATCATCAACTCATGCTATTGTCGCAAAAGTTTGCCAAGTCATTACACCAGGAGTTTCTAGTGCTATGTACTGACGTCCCGCCATATACGCATATAATTAAAGTCTTAATAGCGAGGGGGGCATAATATGAGATTATTCACATAATTAAATATATTTAATATATTTAATAATTTAATATAAATTATTCACATTGGGAAGTTGTCGACCTCAGAGATTTCAGAACAACGACGCGATATGAAACCGGGTGCGTAGTTCTGAGAATTGGACTACCGAAAGTGCGTAGCGGAAATATAAATAAAAAGAGTTATAACGCGAAACAGCTATAAAAATGTCAAATATAACAATATCTCATCTTTCAACCGACACGACCGGGCAACCGTTTCCTGGAAACCCACGCATACGTGCAATTAGTAAACGGGGTCAGCGCTATCTCATCGCTAGGAGAAGAGTGGAGAGTAGGCCTATAAAACAGGGACCCATCCACTTGATATTCAGACGTGATTTACCAGAGCCAGTACGAGCACCTTTACGCCAGTCGACTCTCTGACAAATTTCAGTGTACTAAAAATATTCTATCAGTTTTACATGTCAAAATAAAGTCTATGTTCATAATATTCTACAATTGACTTAGAATTATTTACACCTCGTCATCTCTTGTCTTATACACCACGATCTGTGGGCTGGACCACTACACTAGTGTATTACCCAGCATCATTTCTTTAAAACGCAATGTTCAGCGATTCAGGGTATCCTTAGAAACTTCCCCCTCTTATTCATCTTCACTGGAGAATTTAATAATACCAGAAAAGTCCTAATGCTGGACAAAAAACCGTATATGTTATATGATACCTAGTTATTTCTTACATCACTAAAATATCAATATAAATAAATATGTGTAAAACAAAAAAAAAAAAAGTATAACAAACAATTGCTAAATTATTATTATTATAAAACAAATTCTTACCGCGTACTGCGATACTGCAACAGCCGATAATAAATTTTATGCGGCAACCACCAACGTAAAATAGACGTCACGAAATGATTATGCGGAAATCACCAACGCAACAAAAACACGGTGACTGGCAACTAGACAGACGCAGTGGCCTGTATATATAGGGACCTCCGTGGATAGGTCAACAGAGGGGAGGGGGGTGTCGCGTCTAGAATATTTGGGTGCTGTCGCGGTGATAGAGGCGCAACTATAGAATGATCCAGAATATTCTCGATCATTCCAGAGCTGTACCCAACAATAGTGATATGGAAGATTCTCAAAGATAACTGATTTTTATACTAAAACAAATTTAGAACTCCTCGTGGCGTGTGACCATTGGTATGCTGGCGGATCATTCTCCTCTTCCCCTCCACTATTCTCTCAAATTTATACTTTTCATGGAGCTAAATAGTCCACCTGCATGCCCCTTGTCTATGCACTGCTGCCTGATAAGACCTAGACTACTTACACAAAATTTCTGATCACTTAGTACTAAACTCATCATTAAAACTTAGTGCATTAACATGATAGACTTCGTGGAAGCAGTTCAAAAATCCGTCAACAAAGTTTTTCCGGAAGGTCTGATAAAATGCTGTTTCTTTCATTTTTCGCAGTCAATATGGCTTCACATTCAGTCTTCTTCTTTACAACAACGATATATGAACGATGCAGAATTTGCACTGGAAATTCGTCGAATAGCTGTTCTTGAGTTTATTCCAGAGGAGGCTGTGGACAATGCTTTCAAAACTTTGTGTGAGAGTGAATTTTACGAAAATAATGAGCCAGAACTTGCTCCTCTCCTCAACTACTTCGAGAATACTGTAATGATATGCTCACATATCATTATAACAATTCTTTAAAATGTAACAAGTAAATAAATAACGGCCAGACTGTCGCACATAGAATTCGGAAATCTCCAGACCTCAATACATCATTGTCACTAAATGTCACAGACAATATAGTCTAATTATATTTGTGCGTTAGGGCTGAGCAAGAAGCCGGCGAACGACGGCGTACGTGGTATGTGTGTCGTGTGTGTGCTGGCACACAGATGGCAGCCGACAGGAAACCCGTAGTGTGGGTCGCCGGGCTTCGTCCGCTGCCTTTTCGTCTGCGTCCCGAGCAAACGCGCCCGCGTAACTCATCATCCGCCCCGCAGGACCGGCCTGGAGAACTGTGTTTTGGTGACCAGTGGCCATTTACTTCCGACATCATTGCATCACCCGCTCGCCTACACGTACCCCCCACTTCTCTTTGTCCTGTATGATGCCTTTTTTTTTTTTTTTTTTGTTAAAGTCATATTATTTATATTGTTTATTGCAATTTTTTTCTTTGCACCTATACTGTGTTTTTTTCAATTTACTGGCTGACATCATTGCAAAACCCTCTCGCCATCACGTACCCCCCACTTCACCTTGTCTTGTTTGATTTTTTTTTTTTTGTTAAAGTCATATTATTTATATTGTTTATTGCAATTTTTTTCTTTGCACCTATACTGTGTTTTTTTTCAATTTACGGCTTACAACCATTCAAAATTTTAATTTACTTTCGTAGAGTGCTTTACTCTCATATAATGTTATTTAAGCATACAATTATTGTAAATTTTTCAATAATAAAGAAATTTGTTTACACAGTAAAACGTTGTTTTTTATTGTTCGTATTAAAGAGTACGATTTTATTTGTTTCGACAGAATAATGGACTTTAAAAAATACTAAACAACAATATTGTTAGATTACGTACCAAATATCAATAAAATATATCGATGGTCTTGGCTACATGAATGTAAGTTTATCGGTTGTAGTGAGATTTATCCTGCCTCAAAACATGATAGGTACCAGGCACAAAAATCAGTACATTAATCGCTCAACTCAGAATATCTTAGAATAATACTAATAACTATTGTTTTTGTTGTATCAACACCACGTAGGTATATTGCTTTCGTAAAAGTTTAGATACTTAGAGTAAAGCTACTAGAGTCTGACGAGAGACGAGAGACGATCGAATTTGCACACGTTGTCCATTGACGAATAGTATAATACATTTGACTGGAATATGAATAACAGGGACCTTTCTTGAGTGAAACAGCCTCTCACGAGTGCATGCGCACCACCAAATAGTGTAACAACCTCTCTGTACCGAATTCTAAACTCCTTATGACGCGCAATAATCACTGCGTTTTATTATTTTGAGTAATTAATTTGTGTTACCTAAAATGTATATATATACATATGTGTAAAGGATAAGGTATAAAACCGAACCGTTACAACTGGC